GTCTTGTTGAATAGAAGAAGCTGGATCCTCAACCCTGCTTCAGTCTATTGTGATATTGCTCAAATGTCACCTACACTCTGAAAAGGCCACAGCCCACTCATAAGAAATGAAAGGGAGGGGAGCAAATAATGTCCAAGTATTATGAAAATAACTTTGACCTCACTGATCCCCTAAAAAGGTCTTGAGGAACCAGGAACCATGGTGCACAGATCATTTTGAGAACCATTGTTTGGTAGTATACCAGGTGCCTCAAATAGTGCCTGAAAAACAAGATGCATTCAGTGGTTATTTGTTAAATGTTGAATGGATGAATCAAGTTCTGTTTGACTATAGCCATGTGCCCAGAGTACTGGAACAGGCAGCGGAAACCAAGGAAGGTCAGCATGAGGAGAGAAGGGGGACTTTTCTGCACCTTGGCCAGCCCCTGTGTCTGGCCAGCAGTGACCAAGACAGACTTGGTTCTGTGTGCAGTGCCCATTCTTGCAGGGGCAGAGGTGGGCAGGCAGCACCTGGGTGATGGAGATCAGCAATTGGGCAGGAGAGCCATGGAGGTTGGGATGGCCAGGGAAGAACACTCCTCCCTGTTGAGACTTGAGTAATGGGAAGGAACCAGCCTGAGAGGGTCTGCAGGGACAGGTGTGGGAGGTGGACCAGTAGAGGGCAAGCTGAGGCAGCTCTGAGCCCAGTATGTTGGGGACAACATGGAGGCCAGCCTGTGCAGAGCCCAGTGAGCAAAGGAGATGGCATGGATGAGGCTGGCATGGAAGCCACTGGCCAGAACATGCTGAGGACACGTGGTACGTGGTAGTCCAGGGAGGCTTTTGGAAGAATGTGGACAGTGTTGAAAGGCAGATCTTTCTGAGGACGTGAGGCCTACCTTCTGAGGGAGAGGCTCCAGTTCTGTTCTTCCCTCAGCACTTAGTGGCTGTTGTCTCACTAGGTGTTGGGTGCTGAGGATTGGGGCACCCACAGTTACTGCTCTTGGCACTATGGTGGAGAAGGACATTGGGTCCACGGGGCCAGGTGATAGGCAAGGCAATGGGAGCCAGAGTGGCTGGAAAGAAAGTGGCCCTGAACTGGGGCTGTCCTGGCTGGATTACCTGACTCTAGCCTGTTTCCTGTCCCCCATGGGCCCGAGGCAGAGTTGCCAAGCTGGTGCCACCCTGTTCCACACTGGTGTTGGCTGAAGGGATTTAACTAATGAGAGCCTGAGGAGTCCAGAGGAAACCGGATGTGCTGAAAGACTTTCATTAGTGGCATAATTAATAGGCTCCTGGCCTGAGGCTGCTTCAGACTGAGCTTCTCCAAGCCTTGGGCCTGGCCTGGAATGCGGGGACAGGCGGGGAGGGTGTGGGGGTGGACAGGGAACTGGGAGAGTCGTCTCTGTCTCCCACACATCACGCTGCTCTTCCTCCTGCCTGGGCATCTCCTATCTCGAATCTGGCCTAGTTAGCTCTGCCTCCTCCCTCTGGACCCATCCCCAGGTCTGCACCAGGCCTCGGGCCGTTTGTGTCAGGAGATCACACCTTGATTTGGAAAGGTCCTAGGGAGGATGGTTCTGAGCTGAAAAGCACTGACCCTGCCATGAACCTGACCCTGCTCTGCCATCAATGAGCTGTGCCACTTCCGGTGGATCAGGTCATTCTCACACCACCCCAGCTTTGTTTTTTTTTTTTAATTATTTTTTGTTGTAGTTGGACACAATAACTTTATTTATTTATTTTGATGTGGTGCCGAGGATCAAGCTCAGCGCCTCACACACGTGCTAGGAAACTATAACCCCAGCCCCCCACCAGGCTTCTTGAGGTGCCCCACGTTCCGTATTCAGAACAGTGCACGAGGAGCACCCAGCCCTGCCCCCTTGCTCCCTCCCCGCTGTGCCCATGGGATGGGGGGCTCTGCTCCTGTCAGGGTTAGACATCCCCCCTCATGAGGGGCCCTCACACCATCTCTTCCCGTCTCAGATGCTGACCTCACCTTTGAGCAGACGTCTTGGGGGGACAGTGGTGTGTATTATTGCTCCGTGGTGTCGGCCCAGGATCTCCAGGGGAACAACGAGGCCTATGCAGAGCTCATCGTCCTTGGTGAGTGGGGCTGCTCTCTGAGGTCCTTGGAAGGGGGAGGGGGAGCAGGCCCTTCTGTCCTGTCCCTTCTGTGTCCTTACTCTGCCCTCCAGCCCACTCACTGGGCTCTTTTCCTGCTTTGCTCTCCCCTCATGCCACCGCCAGTCACTTGAGCTTCTCTGTGCCCTGCACCCCAGGAAGGGTCCCTTCCCCTGCAGCCTTCCAAGTCAGCCAGAGCCGAACTACGAATGGAGAGAACTCTACCTCTTCCCAGTCTCCCCATCCTCAGATGTGGTTGACGAGGAGGGAGGAGGATGACTGTGTGTGTCGTATGGGGGGGGCAGGGGGGGTTCAGGACCCCGCCCCAGAACCACAGTCCCAGGATGCTCCCATCCCTTGTGTGAAAGGGCTTAGTTTACAAAGAACCTTCCTCTAATTCTCCTGTGCACTTTAAGTCATCTCTTGGTTACTTTTAATACTTGATACAATGTAATGGGTCAGGAGTTGTTACACTGTATTGCTTAGGCAATGGTAACATGGAAAAAAGTCCTGTCCATGTTCAGTGAGGATTCTTTTTTTTTTTTTCCCCAGTCCTCCCTGGTCAGGGAGGGCCGACAGTGACATAGTGTAATTGAGAGGCTGGACCCACCTGTTCTCTCCTCATAGGGCCCTAGGGCACTTTGGAGTCCCTTGACAGACACAGCATCTTTGTCTTTTGACTGCTAGGAAGTGTGCAAGTTTGTACGTAAAATGAGGGTGGCACCAGATGCCACGGGCATGGTGGGGTGTCCACCAGCAGCTCCCACGAGGCTGGGTGGTCTCGGCCCTGTGGAGCAGGTGCTGCCATGGGCCGGGTGCTCTGTTAGAAGCAACGCACAGCACAGTAGTGTGGGCTAGTGTGAGCGGTGCCGTGAGCTGAAGGGTGTCGTCCCCTCACGTGTGTGACAGAGCAGGCACGCCAGGGGGACATGGGTCAGGATGCTCTTGCACCCGCAATCCCGCCATCTAGGAAGTTCTGGAAACGAACACCGTGGCGGCAGCGATTCTCTGAGTTTAACCCCAGGGCCTGTTCACCCTGGAACATTCTGAGGCCTCAGTCGTCGTTCAGGGTCTTTGAGGCTATGTCTATAGTTGCTTAGTGTGTTAGAAACTGAAACTGGCTACTTTTTAAAGCATAAGATACACAAGTGCACAAGCCATAGCTACCAAGGCTATGACGTCATTGTGTCACAGAGGCTCTGGAAAGCCCCACATGAGAGGAGGAGGGCAAAGAAGGCAAGTAATGCCTTGGTCTCCTGAAAAGGGTCTGGGCTTAGAACCAGACTCACATGCTTCTGCGCCTCACGGGGGTGTGTGATGCCACGTGGGAGCCCCGCGAGAGCTCTGTGGTGAGGGACGGCGTGTGTGGGCTCCCGCCATGTGCTGCTCGCAGGACGCAGGCCCCCATGGCACCTGAGGGAAGGCACCAACTGGGTCAGGAAACATGCACATGTGACAGAATGCACAAACAGAGGATGGAACCCTGGTGGGTCACAGGACCAGGATCCCATGTGACTTCTATGGGCCACAGAAGCTTCTGCCTTTGTGGGCCCCTTCCTCCATTTAAACAAAACAAAACACACAAAGACATTCCATTTTCATAGACTTAGTATTATACATTTTTTTTCTCCAGATTAAAAAAAAAAAAAAAAAAGCATGTTTCTGGGTCCTAGGGTGCTGGGCCTGTTCTGCTTGACACCACGGGATCCTTGCTGTTGCCTCTTGGAACCCTTGGATGGGAAAGATAGAGTGACCAGACTAAGGTCAAACCTTCAGGACCCATGGCGTGTGTTGGAACCTGCTAGGGCTGACAGCAGGTGGATTATGTGATGGTGGCCTTCACACCACCAGCACCCACATGTGAGCAGGGGTGGAGGGCAGGCACCACACGCCAAGTCTCTTCTAGGCCTCCAGCCTCGCCCCCACCTGCTTGCTGCAGGACACACCTTCTACTGAGCAGCCTGGAATGGGGCACTTTTTTAGGGACAGGACTGCCTGGGCTGGCTCTGGCCAGCATAATCTCCTGTTCTCTTTTGTCCCTCCAGGCAGGACCTCGGGGGTGACTGAACTCTTACCTGATTTTCAGGCGGGGCCCATGGAAGGTATGGGGTGGAGTCCTCAGTGGGGCTTCTCTCTGTCATTCTCCTCCCCCCTAATCACTCTCGCTGTGAACTCCACTAACTCTGTTTGACCTTGTGGCATCTAGTGGCCTGGTTCTGGGCTTGGAGGTGGGCTGGGCTGGCTGAGGAGGGACCTGGGGTGTAGGCAGGGGCTCCTGTGACTGGCGCCAGCTGTGTTCTTCAGGGGTTGGGTCTGGGCTATGGCTCTCTCCCCTCCTAGAGGCTACACTCCATCTTGCTTTGGCCAGGTTACTCGTTTTCTGCCTTGTCCATTTGAAGCCCGAGGGATCCCTAATTTGGGGATTGGCCCTGATTGTAGAGGGTTCGGCATCCCTCTGTACTGTGCCCCCAACTCTGGCACAGAGAATCCAATGAGGGCTGCAGGTCCCCGGGCCCAGGTTGGCTCTGTGCTGCCCCTGCAGAGCCTCTCTGCCCCTGTTGGTTTTTCCCGGCTCAGGGCCTCCTCTGGTCTCCCTGCAGACTGGCTCTTCGTGGTCGTGGTGTGCCTGGCTGCCTTCCTTGTCTTTCTCCTCCTGGGCATTTGCTGGTGTCAGTGCTGCCCACATACCTGCTGCTGTTACGTCAGGTGCCCCTGCTGCCCGGAGAAGTGCTGCTGCCCTGAGGCCCGTAAGTGCTCCTCATGCCACCTTCATGCAGCTTCCCTGCTGGGCAGGTGCTGCCTACCCAGGACAGTGCCCAGATCTGGAGGTGAGGAGGTCAGCACTAGGGAGACAGGACGCCAAGGAGGACCTGCTGTTTTAGATTATCACTTACTTACTTCAGCTTATATTTTTCATTTATTGAGAGTTTTTGGTTTTTTAATATAATTTATAAACATGGTAAAAAAAAAAAAGTCCAACAATATAAGATTATTCACAGGGAAGCAAGGATCGCTTTAAAAACAAAATCTCAAGTGTAAAAGTTAAGAAAACAAGATTTACCGCACCATGTAATTTCAGCACATTTTGAAAAACACATATTCACATGAACACTATACATTTTACATGAAGCCTGCGTTTAGGGGCACTCCTGATGTATCAGAGTGGGGTACCTGTGGAAGTTCAGAAATAGAAGTAGGACCAGAGATGAAGTGGGCGGAGGACACAAGCAAAGAGAAAGAAAGTGAGTCTCCCTCCCGCCTCTGCCTGTTTCCCTCCTCAGGGCACCAGCTGTTACCAGTTCCTTAGTCCTTCAGGAGGGCGAGTAGATAGACCACTACTTCTGCACACAACCCAACGAGTATTAACGGGAAAACAGGCAGTTACGAGCCTGAGTAGGTGGATGTTTGAGGTTGGCCTGATAATGCCTAAAGGGCTGGCCCAATGAGTGCCTTGCCCTTCTCCTCTGTAAAATGGGGCTCATGGCAGAGCTCACTAGGCAGGGTGAGTCAGGGATGTAGTGAACTCAGTTCACAGCTTTCAGCACAGGGCTGGACCTTTATAGTGTTTGGAGCCTACTAGCTGTTGGACGTGGGTTTAGCCTACATTAGCAATGCCTTCAGGCTAGGATACAGCTCAGCCCCCCCCCCTACACTGTGACCTCTGACCTGCACCATTCCCTTCTCTTTGAGCTTGAAGGGAAGACTGGGAAAGTGCCCAGGAAGCTGCAGCTCCGTCCATGCCAGTTGGTACCATGGTGGGCAACCCGGCTCCTCAAAGTCTCGCTCCCATCACTTAGTTGAGAGCTTTGGCTCAGGTGGTGGGTGTTAGTCCATTTTACAGATTCAGAAAAGAACTTTAAAGGGCTGCCACCAAGTTTTCAGTTAGCCCACTGAGGCTGAGGTCAACGTGCACAGGCCTGTCCCCAGGCACACCTCCTCCACCTACCGCCTATCCCTGTTACTTCAGCTCTAGCCCCAGCCACAGCCCCCTGCAGATCCATCAGGAAGCAGCTCCCACTGCTAATTATAACACAGCAAATCAGTCACCTGAGCTGATGTAGGGTTTTGTCCTAGGTGGGGCTCAGGACTTATTCTTCTGCTTTTGAACCAAATCAGACTAGTAGGGCGTCTCCCAGGGCCTGTGGAATACCAAGGAGGAAGTGACTTGCCTAGAGCCCAGTGACTTGGCCACAGAGCAGCCATGGGACCCCACCTCCTGCTGTGGGAGGAAGGAAGCAAGGATTTGCCCTTGAGCTGTCAAGCCTAGAGCCAGGCTGGCTGGCCCTCTGGGTGAGAGTGGGCGGGGCCAGGAATTGGAAACCCTAGAGGAGCTATTTTGCTCCTGGCTGAGGTGGCCCAGTTAACTCCTGGGGCCCTTGTGGCCTGTCTCAGACCAACTTCCTTTCCTTGCCATCTGGCTCTGGAAGATGACCCAGCAGGCATGACAGCAGAGTGGGCATGGGATATCTCCTGGGCAACTCCCTGTTCCAGAGTAGGGACTCTGCCACCCAAAGGGAAACTTGGTTTCAGCTCGTGGGATAGTGTAGGCCCAAGAGGTGGCTTTGCTCACTGTCGCCTGTAAGCACACAGTGCAGCCAGAGCTTTAGGGAAGGTAGCTGGAGAACTGGAATTTCACATAAATCTTTTGACAAATGTTGGCAAACCACAAGGTCAAACAAAATGTATTGGCCTACCAGATTGGGGACCGTGGACTGCCAGTGTGCCACACGCCCCCTATTCTGAAAGCTCCATGAAGAATCACAGGAGGTGACAACCTAAGTATAGCTGATGTTCCCTGGCCTCGGGGTACTGTAATAATGTGGTGGGGGAGGCAGGCGCACAGCCCTTAGAACCCCCTCACACAGCAGCGTGGCTCCTGGCCGCCTTCTCATGCCAACTGTGCTCTCCCAGTGTATGCAGCTGGCAAAGCAGCCACATCAGGCGTCCCAAGCATCTACGCCCCAAGCACCTACGCCCACCTATCCCCGACCAAGACCCCACCTCCACCGCCAGCCATGATTCCCATGGGCCCTGTCTACAATGGATACCCTGGAGGGTACGCTGGAGACTTTGACAGGAATAGTTCAGGTAAGGGCTGACCTGAGTGGGGCTGGACTGGGCACTGGACACAAAGGGGGCTGGGGCTGAGAGGAAGAGTGGGTGGGAGGTACTGGGAAGGCAAGGCTGGGGGGGGGGCAGCCACTGACCACCAATCTCCTTCAGTTGGCCACAGCTCCCAGGTACCCCTGCTTCGGGACACAGACAGCAACATGACCTCTGGTGAGAACCTGTCATTCCCAAGTTGGATATGCCTGGAGAGGGAAGCTGGGTGGGTCAGCATCCATCTTCCCAAATCAATCACCTTTTCCTATCCCTAGAAGTCCGCAGTGGGTACAGGATCCAGGCCAACCAGCAGGATGACTCCATGAGAGTCCTGTACTACATGGAGAAAGAGCTGGCCAACTTCGACCCCTCTCGACCTGGACCTGGCCCCCCCAACGGTCGTGTAGAACGGGGTGAGGAGACCTGGGGTCTGAGGGCTCCTTGAGGGGGATGGGGAAGCATGGCTCCTTGATACCTGCCCCAAGGAGACTGTAAACACCTTGAGCATAGTTCCTCCTTCCCAATCATGTCCCCTAGGGAATTTTTGAGCCAAGGGGTGACAACTGCTAGCCTAGCCCTGGCCCCATCCAGCATCATTCCCCATTCCCTACAGCTATGAGTGAAGTCACCTCCCTCCATGAAGACGACTGGAGATCCCGGCCTTCCCGGGGTCCTGCCCTCACCCCAATCCGGGATGAGGAGTGGGGTCGCCACTCCCCCCGGAGTCCCAGGAGATGGGAGCAGGAGCCCCCCACAGAGCGGCCAGGGGGTGGCTGGGGGGGCAGGCGGCCCCGGGCCCACTCCATGGATGCTCTGGATGATCTAACCCGGCCGGGTTCTGCTGAATCTGGGAGGAGGTCTCCCCCAAGTAGTGGGAGGAGAGGACGTGCCTATGCACCCCCACGAAGCCGTAGCCGTGATGACCTCTATGACCCAGATGACTCGAGGGATTTTCCACATTCGCGGGATCCTCACTACGATGACTTCAGATCTAGGGACCGCCCTCAGGTGGACCCCAGATCCCGCCAGCACCGATCCCGAGACTCCCGGGATGAAGGCTCTAGGTCGGGGGACCCGCATTATGATGGGCGTCTACTAGAAGAGGCCTTAAGGAAAAAGGGGCCAGGGGAGAGGAGGAAACATTACAGGGAGGAAGAGGAAGAAGAGGAGGCCTACTACCCTCCACCGCCTCCCCCGTACTCGGAGACGGACTCCCAGGCCTCACGGGAGCGGAGGCTTAAGAAGGTGAGCGAATGGTCCTCCCGAGGTTAGACCCTGCCCAGGCCCCTCTTCTCAGTCCCTGCCCAATTTACACTCTTCTTTCTCCTTTGCAGAACTTGGCCCTGAGTCGGGAAAGTTTAGTCGTCTGACCTCATATTTTGTATGTAGTTTTTGTACTTTTTTTTTTTTTAATTTGAGGGAGTATTGATGAAGATCTTCTTGTAAATCTAATAAAATTGATAATCATAAAAGTGATGTCTCGAGAAGCATTTGTTCTGCTGCACGAGGTGGGGGACCTGGGCAGCTACTATGTGTCTGAAAATGCCATGTCCCATTTCTCCGGGAGCTGGAGTCCTGGGTCAGAAGGAAGAGACCCAAGTCAGCCTTCTGCCTTCTACCTCTGCCCCGGCCAGGAGTACGTGCCCCACGCCGCCTCCGCCCGGCCCCTGCGTGCGCGCCGCGGCCCCGCCCAGACGTGCGCATGCGCCTCCGCCTTCTCGCTCAGAAGCCGGGAGCGCGCGCGCGCGCCCCTCTCCCT